ATGAACTAGTGCCCAAAGCCCAAAACTATAAGTTAAGCAATTGAAACCCACTATTATCCCAGTATGAAACAATGGATAAATGGAAACACAAAAAGTACAAAAAAAGAAAGCAAGTGGTTTATGGACTTTTGTTTTATTTTTCTTTTTCTTACTCCCTTATGTATTTTGAACCTACTGACCAGTGTCGTCTCCGAGTAATCCTAGTTTCTGTGTGTGTTCTAAGGTGAACACCTCAATTGTTTTCAGCATGGTTCTTTATTAAATTCTTTTGTTTTTATTTTTTAAGAATGTTAACTAAGAAGGAAAAAAAAGAAAAGAAAAACTATTTGGTCCAAGAGAACATCAGGTCTGCCTGGCGTGACCTGGCAAAAAATGTGTACCCGTTCCGGTCTCTAGGTGGTAGGTGGAGGGCCTGCAAAGGCTACCCAACCTAGGCTAACCTGTTGCCTCTATTCAGAGTTCTCGAAGCAAAGGTTGACCACTGAAGGCATATGCGTCAAGGAACAAATGCTTCTCCTATTGCCTAGAGGCATTTTTCCATTCATTGTGTCGGACAAGCCTTGATGCGAGTCTTAGAAGGTCTTCTGTAATAATGTTCATAGTGAAGTCACCATCTCTTTGCATGAATGTGAGCTTCATTGAACCGAGCCATGTAAAATTGCTGGATGTCTATCATGTTCTTTTTTCTTTGATTAATCTGATATTCTGTGGTTTGTCATAAGTTGTAACAAGAGAAAGCTCTTAAAGAGTTAATATCTTTTATTTCTACATCCTGATAACAATAATGAAATGATAGATAAATAATGATTTGTGATTTCCACTATTCACTATGAAGTTATAGATGATGTTTTAAAGACTAAAAATATCTAAATTAGAAGCTGCTTAGTCATATTCATTAGAGAAACTAATAAATTTTGAAAATTTTTCAGTTTTCATATTGCTATTCACATGAATTCATAAACTTTGTCTTATACATGCATTCATTTCTTGTAAGCTCAGTGGGTCATTTTGTGATAATGACTAAAAGATCGTATCTCATCTAAGCAAATGCATGCTTTCTTGAAAGTTAGTGGGGTCAATTCATCCTACCACCTTTAACTTGGCTCTGCCCATTCTTGTGGAGTATAAATGCTCCTTATAACCATCATTATCCTCAATTTCACACAATCTTGCTTGAGGACATTGAATTGGACTATTGTATATTTCTTGGTTTACCCAAATTCCATTTTCTGAATTTGTTGGACAGGCTAGGGCTTTATGTTACTGGATACTGTTTGTGCTGAAGTGTCGGTACATAAATGGATATTGAAAAGTTAACTAAGTTATTATTAATCTTTCAGATCTATGAACTAATTACTGAACTTCTGGCCTAGGGATTTAAGACAGCATATTTTGCTTCCTGTTTATGCTTATAACGCTGCACTTCCAGGTCAAAGATCTATTTTACAATCTATTTTGCTCCTGTTTGTTTTCAGGTTGGTGATATTAATTGCATTTTTGGCTGTTCTTTCCATACTATCCCGCACTTTTATACCTTTCTTCTTTAAGTTGATGATTAGACTTTCCTCACAGGTGATTTTTTGTCTGATCTAATGAGGTTTATGCACTTTGTTTCTTATATTTGACTTTGTTTCTCTGAAATCTTGCAGACAAATGAACTTTATCAATTGGCATCTGTGGCTTTCTGCTTGATTGTTGCTTGGGTCGGTCTTATTTCCTAATTTCTTTCTCAATTTTAAGCCTAATCGACATTGCAAGCATACACTTTCCTGCATAAGCTTATTGGGGTGTGTGTGTGTGTTAAACTTGAATCATTGTCTCATATCAGTGTAGTGATAAGTTGGGCCTGAGCCTAGAATTGGGTTCCTTTGCTGCTGGAGTGATGATATCTACAACTGACCTTGCTCAGCATACACTTGAACAGGTAAGCTTCCGTGGTGGTGTTTTTCTGTTTTGCTAAGCCAAAAATCCTTTCTCAACCTTCCACTGCCCCTCCTTTTTCACATACATACATTCTAATCAACTTCATGAATATGTGCGTGCGTGTGTCCATTCTCTGATGTTCTCTCTCAGTGTTTGTGTTGTTTATCTCAGTGTTTTGAAAACCGGAATGGAACGGTTCGTTCTACTAGGAATTGATAACCGGTCCAGTTTTTTAGCTTAAAAACCAGAAAGATAGAAACTGGTATGAAATTTGGCAATCCGGTCTCTTTAACTGGGAGCGGGTGACTTGGAGGCAGTTTTACTGAGTTTTCTGGTTGGTTTTGAACCCCAAAAAAAAAAAATAATAATAATAAATAAAAAAAAGAGGTGTAGTAGAACAGCCTGCCACTGGTGTTTATCCCGTTTCTCCCATTTCTGATATGCCCAAGGCTCGCCTCTGTGGAAGAAGCAGAAGGTGGTAACCAAAAGTCTGAAAATAGGAGAAGGTATCAAAAAAATCCTGAAACAAATTCTGTAGGAATAATAGGAAGGAAGAAGCAGCACCACTGTATTGTCTCTTATTATGATGGGATTTAGCGGTGGATGATTATGCGAGTAGGGTTATAACCTTATTTAAGCCATTTAGTTGTTTTAATAAGTAGCCCAGCTAGTTTTATATATAGGGTCATAGCTTCATTTGGGCCCATTTGATTTTTATTTTATATTTAGAAAATTCTGTTCACTTGTTCCTTAATCCTTAGAAATATGATTAAAGTTGTACAGATATGTGGTCTCTCAGATGATTGTCTAAGCTGTATGCAAGTCATGTTTTTATATATTTATATTTTGTGTCATAGTCCCATACGTTGTGTATGTTTCCTCTTATATGGAGGTCATTCTTTTGTAGGTGGAGCCCATCCGGAACTTTTTTGCTGCTCTTTTCCTCGCCAGTATTGGAATGCTTATTCATGCTCATTTTCTTTGGAATCACATTGATATTTTACTGGCGGCTGTTATATTGGTGATTATCGTGAAAACCGCCGTGGTTTCCTTAGTTGTCAAGGGATTTGGGTACACCAACAAGACTTCTGTTCTTGTGAGTACTTGTCTGGTTCTCATTTTGATGTTTTCTCTGATATTTTTCACAAGCAAATCTTGGCTGTATGTCTGCATAGGTTGGGATGTCGCTAGCACAAATTGGAGAGTTCGCTTTCGTTCTCCTTAGTCGGGCTTCAAATCTTCATCTAATTGAGGTATGGCTTTTATTCATGTTCCGTTTTAATCGATCTCATTGAGGCCCCTTATATTGCATTTGGGTGGATTTTATATATATATATATATATGTATTCATGGTAATGAATTCAGAATTGCTCAACTTAATCTATTTATATTCCTTCTTCTGGTGGTCCTCATTGAGCTTTTATATAGCATTGAAATGGACAAGTGACAGAAGGTAATGACTTGTGCAGGGTAAATTGTATGTGCTGCTTCTTGGGACAACAGCTCTTAGCCTGGTATGCTAGACTTTATAATTTATATCCAGTAATAGCTTTTAAGCTTTCAAAGTTTCAATTGTATCCTGTGAGGATGGTCATGGGCGTTTGTATTTGGGTCTAATTACTGGTGACAAATCATTATTACTATTATAAAGCCGTGGCTGGCAGAATGAAAGAGGGCCACAACAGGTAAGAATAAAACACCCTAAAACTGATTCGTAGAGACTCCATAGTGTACATCGTTTATATAAACCTAATGTATGTGCTATACAAGGAAACAATTTTATTATTAACTATAATTAGACCAACATATATGGTAAAAGATAGTCTCCCAAATCTTCTCCATTATTCCCGAATATTCAACACTCCCCCTCAAGCTGGATGGTACACGTTAAATAATCCCAGCTTCTCTATCATTTTCTTGAACATTGGTTTAGATAACCCCTTGGTCATCAATGTATCAGCAACCTGTTGAGATGATGGTACATGAATCATTCCTATTGTCCCATTATCTTCTCTTTGATGAAATGCCTATCCACTTCAACATGTTTAGTCCTATCATGATGGACTGGATTATGTGACATTGCGATGGTTGCCTTGTTATCACAATAAACTTTCATGGGTTCGCTTTCCTGAACTCCAAGTTCCTCTAACAATAGCTTTAACCACATTATTTCACAAATTCCATGAGCCAAGGCTCTGAATTCTGCTTCAGCACTACTTCTAGCCTCTACTGGTTGCTTCTTACTCGTCCAGGTGACAAGGTTTCCCCATACGTAAGTACAATAACCTGTTGTAGATCTTCTGTCATTGACTGAACCTGCCTAATCTGCATCGGTGAAGGTTTCAATAGTCCTTCTGGAATTCTTTCTGAAGTACAATCCAAAACCTGGAGTCCTTTTTAAATATCTTAGGATCTGGTAGATAGCTTCCATATGTTCCTTGAATGGTGCATGCATGAACTGACTCACAGCGCTTATTGCAAAGGCAATATCCGATCTTGTGTGTGACAGATAGATGAGTTTTCCTACACGGCGTTGATATCTTCCTTTATCTACAGGAGTTCTTCCTAAACAATCTCCCAGTTTGTGATTTGGATTTATAGGGACATCTACTGGTTTACTTCCTAACATACCAATTTCTTTCAAAAGGTCCATAACATACTTCCTTTGTGAAATAGTAATCCCGCTCCGATTTTTAACAACCTCCAGTCCAAGAAAGTATCTTAAAGTGCCCAAGTCTTTTATCTCAAACTCAGATGCAAGAGCTTTCTTTAACCTTTTCATTTCTTCATAATTATCACCCATTAGGATTATATCATCCACATAGACTATTAATATGGTAATTTTCCTACTTGAGTTCCTATAGAACATAGTGTGATCAGATTGAGCTTGCTTAAACCCTTGTCGACATACAGCTTTCATGAATTTGCCAAACCATTTGCATCCAACTGTTGCCTTATCTTTAGGTTTTTCAACAATCTGCCATGTTCTATTTTTTCTCAAGGCTGTCATTTCTTCCTCAACTACTTTTTTTCATTCCTGTCTTGACAAAGCTTCTTGGATAGACTTTGATATCTCAATTGATGACAAATTTGTAACGGGCTTGAATTGATATGGATAGATGACCGTATCCAAAAAAATTTGAAATCGGATGTTGTGTACAAGATCTCACTCCCTTCTTGAGTGCTATAGGAACATCCAAATCATTGTTAAGAGTCATTCTGTGAAATAGTGGAGTTACTTAAATTCAGGTCAGGTTCATGGTTCTGCTGTTGAATTGTGGGGTGTTCCACAATATCAGGATTTTTCCTTCTTGAATAAACACGTAGATCAGGTGTTGTAGTAAGTTGTTTATCTCTCCCTATCATTAAATTTGGTGGAGTGGATGAGTCAATGTGTTGTGGATCATCATTTGAGAAAGGAGTAGTGAATGGAGATTGTTGTTCAGATACTGGAGGAAATGGGTTAGAGATTGAGGCAGAATTATCTTCGGTGAGTGCCCAAAAATTCCCATCATAGTTCTCATTATTGTGTGTCTCCCCCTGAGGGGAATTTTGGGTGAAATAAGGAATAGACTTGAAGAAGGTAACATCCATAGAGATATAATATTTACCAATGTCTAGCGAATAACATTTGTAACCTTTTTGAGTTGGTGAATAACCTAAGAACACACATTTACGAGCTTTGGGATCTAACTTAATACTTTCATGGTCATTAATATGAGTAAAGGCTGTACAACCAAACGCCTTTAGGGATTGAGAGAGGGTAGATCGAATTTGAGGGTATACTCCTGACAAAATAGTTAATGAAGTTTTATAGTTATGTATTCGGGTATGCATTCTATTTATAAGATAACATGCAGTAAGGACTGCATCCCCCCAAAATTTTTTTGGAACATTGCTTGTAAACATTAGAGCCCTAGTAGTTTCTAATAGGTGTCTATTTTTTCTTTCATCGATATCGTTTTGTTGGGGAATCATAACACATGAGCTTTGATGCAAGATACCTTTTTCAGCAAGAAAAGTTCCCAAAATGTGGTTAAAATATTCCTTCCCATTATCGGTTTGAAATATTTTTATTTTTGCATCAAATTGGGTTTGAATCATGGAGTAAAATTTTTTCAAAGTTTGTGCTGTTTTAGACTTATTTTTTAACAGGTAAACCTAGCATACCCTAGTGTGATCATCTGTGAAAGTAATGAACCAGCGTTTGCTTGAGGTATTTTTAACTCTAGACGGGCCCCACAAGTTACTATGTATTAAAGTAAAAGGTAATGAAGGTTTATACTCGTGAGATGGGAAAAATGAACGAGAGTGCTTAGCTAATTGACAAATATCACATTGAAATATATTGTTATTGCGAAACAAAGATGGAAATAAATGCTTAAGATATGAAAAACTAGGGTGACCTAAACGGCGATTCCACAACATTAGTTCTTGTCCTTCAGGGGTAGATTCACAACTTGCGATTTGAGCTTGTTTATTCAAGTCGGCATCCTCCATGAAATAGTATAGTCCTCACGTCCCTTAGCATTGCCAATCTTCTTCCCTGAACTTAGGTCCTGAAAAATACACAAAGACTCAGTAAAATTGATACTACAATTCAAATCCTTAGTTAACTTGCTGACAGAAAGAAGACTGCATGAAAGATTGGGAACATATAGAGTAGATTTTAATTCCACGTGTGGGCTAAGTCTAATAGTTCCAACTCCGGCAACTGGTGCGAATGACCCATTTGCTAATTTTACTTTAAAATTTCCAGTGTGCGGTGATAATGAATTAAACATTTTTTCACAACCTGTCATATGATCTGTAGCCCCCAAGTCAATAATCCACTGTTTGACCTTACTCCTTCCAATAAAAGCCAACATATAATTACCTCGTTCAACTAATAAGCTAGAAGTCGAAGCAGGGGAGAGTAATTTATACAATTGTTCTAGTTGGATCTTGGTAAGAGAGACAGAGATTTGCTCGGTCTGAGTGGGAGTTGGTGTAGTGTTTGCAGAGCCTTGGAATCCAGAGGAGCTTCGCGTCTGATTCTCCTCGCGTTGGTGTTGGTCCGGTCTTCCATCAAACCGGGTTCCAGGCTTCTTGTTCGGCGGCCGGCCGTGTAACACCCAGCATCGCTCGGTGGAGTGATTCGTCCTCCTACAGTGCTCACACCATGATGAATTTTTCTTGGTAGGTTTTGAGAGCTCTGGACCGTGCGCAGCAAGGGCTGAATTGTCCAATTGTTTCGAATCACCCAGCATTACCCGTTTTCGATTCGCTTCTCGACGGACTTCGGCAAAAATTTCATCACTTCCAGGAGATGGTTTCAGGCCCAGAAGTCTCCCTCTCACCTCATCCAGTTCTGGAATTAGCCCAGCCAGAAAATCATAAATCCTCTCCTTCTCCACCTGTTTCTTGTATTTTTTAGCATCTTTGGGTGTGTCCCAACTAATTTGAACAAACATGTCAATTTCTCTCCATACCCGCTGCAGAGAATTGTAGTATTGTGTGACATCGAGGTCCCCTTGACGACGATTTCTCGCCTTGTTTCGAAGTTCAAACAATTGTGCTGAATTTTCCAAGTCAGAGTAGGCCACCGTTAAAGCATCCCAGAGTTCTTTTGCTGTGGAGTAGTAGATATAGGACTCTCTAATGTCTTCTTCCATTGAATTAATGATCCATGCCATTACCATGGAGTTTTGAGCGTCCCATGTTGCATTGGTTGGGTCACTCTCATCTGGTTTAATGGTTGTACTGGTCACATATCCAAGGCGGCCACGGCCTCAAATAACCACAAGGGCTGAACGAGACCATTGGAGGAAATTTTTTTACCATTTAGCTGAGTGGTGGTGATTTGAAGAGAGGTACTTTCAAACATGTTTACTGGAAAAGGATTGGGTGTAATAGGTGC